AAATTATATAATGTAGTGGGCACTATCTTATCAAGTCTTCCATTTTTAAAATCTAGTCAAGGCTCCTGAGAATCTAAGTTGCTTGTAAAATCATTGTCAAGAAGTTAAGCCAAAGACCAGCTGGTAGACAGGATCCTTGTAAACCTAAATTGTTATCCTTGTAAAAAATGGCTGTTCCTTTCTTTTGACTGTACCAGGTAGTTTCAACCATCAAATCCTAATATGTGAATATATATTTGAACAGAGCTCCTCCTGTGAATAATTCAAAAACAAGTTTCAATCTATTTTGTAACAAAGTTTAATCATAAAAAATAGTCAAATTTTAAAATTAACAAATGATAATCATACAGATAGAAATAAATATTTTAATATTATTTACAAAATCACCAATCTTTGTTACTAGTATAGGTGCCCTGTCACTATAGTGATTACTAGTTATGTATAGTGAATAATGGTGTTGATATCCAAACACAACTTACAACTCAGTTACATGAGAGTTACATTTGAAACGTATGACCGCTATTCTTAGTTGAAACCCTACACAACTAGAAATAGCTATGGTGTGAGGGCCACCTGAAGATTTTAAAATAATACAAGTGCTGCTCCAGTATTGATTCTTATATTTAAATATTTCTGTTATAAATATTCAGACTTCCTAAAAAAGTATCGAAATAGAAGTCTCACTCATTTAACATTTATAACTAAACAAACTTAAACAAGCAGAAATCAAACTGGATAAAATCTCAGTGATGTTCCTCTTCGATTGGAAGAAATTGTCTTTCTGACACATACAACAATCTCCTACATTTCAGGATCTCCCAAGAATTTAGCAGCAACTGTACAACAGAATCAAATTATATATCAGAAGCAGCAACTGTACAACAGAATCAAATTATATATCAGAAGCAGAAACTGTACAACAGAATCAAATTATATATCAGAAGCAGAAACTTGCTGATGTTCTTTCAATTGCTAAATTTTGTTACTTATATAAAAAAAATATCACATGTGCTTTGACTCAGATCATAACAAATTAAATGATTTAGAAAACAAAGCTAAAATATCACAGCAGTTCACCTTTTAATTGATTTTTAATGTGAAATATACTCCAAATTTATAAGTTTTATATTCAATCTTCAGACAATGTTTATCAAAAATCAATGAAATAAAAATTAAAGTATGCAACAAGTACATTCAGATATAAAATAACAAAAGTAGCCATGTTTCTGGATCCAGTGTTGATAGTTTTCAATTGAAAATAAAATAAAAGATTTTAGCAGCATAGTTTAAAATCTGAATTCAGTGACTCAGTGACTAATATTAATATTACAGTTGTCTTGGTTTTATTTCTAACTTGATATCATATATAGTGTTGATCTGTTTTAATATCAAATAAAAGATTTTAGCAGCATAGTTTAAAATCTGAATTCAGTGACTCAGTGACTAATATTAATATTACAGTTGTCTTGGTTTTATTTCTAACTTGATATCATATATAGTGTTGATCTGTTTTAATATCAAATAAAAGATTTTAGCAGCATAGTTTAAAATCTGAATTCAGTGACTCAGTGACTAATATTAATATTACAGTTGTCTTGGTTTTATTTCTAACTTGATATCATATATAGTGTTGATCTGTTTTAATATCAAATAAAAGATTTTAGCAGCATAGTTTAAAATCTGAATTCAGTGACTCAGTGACTAATATTTATATTACAGTTGTCTTGGTTTTATTTCTAACTTGATATCAGATATAGTGTTGATCTGTTTTAATATCAAATAAAAGATTTTAGCAGCATAGTTTAAAATCTGAATTCAGTGACTCAGTGACTAATATTAATATTACAGTTGTCTTGGTTTTATTTCTAACTTGATATCAGATATAGTGTTGATCTGTTTTAATTTCAAATAAAAGATTTTAGCAGCATTAAGGGATACTACCTCTTAGAATGGACATAATAGTTTTTTTCAGT